CCTGTGTGGAAAGAGAAACACAAACACAAGTGATGTCACCAGGAGGTCACTAATGCAGTTTCCAAACTTGCAAAATATCCTAAGACACACCGCTGAGGTTGTAGGACCCACTTGGAGTTCCCCCCACCACGTGGGCTGTGAGCTGTGGACTCCACCCGAGTACCCATGAGGAACGCCCCCACTCACAGCAAACCTGGATGCACAGGAGCCCCAGCAGAGCTCCCCAATGTCTCCTCATGATTCCTTGTCTACGTGATGAGGTACTTCTGCCTACTGTGCAGAGCATAGAGTCTTGGATTCAGAGAAACTGTGTCTTACAGTCAATCCCTTTCAACAGAACCACCGAGCACCAATCACACCTCAGCCCTGTCATTCACAGAACTCCAGTCTCCACCCACAATGGCCCAGGACAGTGCACAGTCATGTCTCCAAAACTGTGCTGGCCAACAGTGCAGGGAGGTAGGGGCAATACTTTAATATAGGAGGAAAAATGGTTGTTGTTGTTTTTTTTCTTAAAACACTTTATGTAAGGGATTTGTGAGTTAGTATGTGAGGAAAGGTGAATGGTATTTCTTTTTTTTCCTCTTTTATTTTATTTTTTAAAATTTTTTATTTCTTTTCAATGTAACAGTATTTCTAAAAGATTCAAGGTCTAATGGGGATTCCACAAAACCTTGAAGAATTATAGTGAATAGTGTCTCCATTCCCCAATTTGCATAGTTTGTTAGACTACGTGAGAATTCAACTATATGAAAATATGATAAAGGAAACCATCTGATATCATGTGTTATATATATCGCTGAAGTAACCATAATTTCTGAAATTACGACAGTTCTAGACCAAAACAGACAGTCACAATCTGTATTGATTATAATTGCAAGCAGAATTTGGCTGATGAAAAATAAGAGGTCTGCACAATGTTCTCTCTAACTTTCACATCTCCATCTCTCCTGCACATGGACCCTGCTCATCCACACAGCTGAGTCTGACAGGGCCACACGTTGCTGTTCAAAGTCAATGTTGTCCTCTCCCTTTCCTTCTCTTTGTGTTCCTTATTGTTTCCAGTCTTCTTTTCTTCATTCTTGCTCCCTCCACTCTCAGCAGAAATATGTATAGTGGATTTCTAGAAACATGGCCTCAGATGTCCGAGGTTGATATGAAATGGCAGAACATAAAACCTGAGATGAACTTTACACAAACCTCGTCCCCCTTCTTCCCCACCTTTGCTATCTATAATTGGACTGGCTCACATGATTTCTATTCTCTCTTTTAACTGTTCAACCTTGGACCATCAGAAAAATCTTTATTTCTGGTAAAGCCTAGAGTGCCCCCTAGAGTAATGAAGCTGTCAGCAAAGACACCTCAGATGAAGCAGCTCTGCAGACACAACCCCCAGCTCCATTCATTCCAAGGTTTCTGATGAAGGAAGTGCCCATGATCAGAAAATAAAATAACTGCCTGGATTGAATGAGGATTAAAAGTGAACCAAATTCTACTTTTAAAAGGGAATTTAATGGAAATGGATATGAAAGATAATTTGGTAAGTCTCATCTTGTGCTGCTTATTTGATTTCCTTACCTTAGTTCAAAAGAAATCCATAAATAGTTATTGAGCCTTTAGTTGCAATGGGGTAATTTACTAGAGCTAAGAATATATAAAAGATTAATGGAATATTATTCAGCAGTTTAAAAGAATGAAATCTTGCCATCTGCAACAACATGGATGGATCTGGAGAGCATGATATTAAGGGAAATAAGACAGTCAGAGAAAGACAAATACCACATGATTTCACTCATGTGGAATTTAAGAAACAAGCCAAATAAGGAAAAGGGAAAGAAATAAGAGAGAGATAAATCAAGAAACAGACTCGTCATTAAACAGAAGAAACTGATGGTTACCAGAGGGAGAGGCTGGGGATTGGTTAAATAGGTGAGGAGATGAAGCAGGGCCCTTTTCCCGATGAGCAAACAACAGGTGTTCTATGGAAGTGTTGAGTCACTATATCATACACCTGAAACTAATACAACACTGTATGTTGAGTAACTGGAATTTAAATAAAATCTGTGAGTGAGTGAATGAATGAATGAACCTTTTAAGATAATACATGAAAGTGGATAATATACTAGTTTACAGTCTACAGGGGAAAGAAAAAGGTAAATAGCTATAATAGAATCAATGAGTGGGACCCTAGGAAGAATGAAAAGGAAAAACAATCTGATCCCAGAGGAGATAGAAATGCTTGTACTTTGGGTCATTGTGCAAAATCTTATGAAGAATGTGATCATTTTCTCCTTTCCCCTTTTTTGGTGAAAGAACAGATGAAAACTCCCATAAACCTTTATGATGGCTTTTATGATTGAAGAGATTGAACACTGCACATTGTTGGTGGGAATGCAAAATGGTGTAACCATGGAAAACAGTATAGAGTTTCTTCGAAAAGTTGAAAATAGAAATACAATGTGATTCAGAAATCCTACTTCTGAGTATTTATCAAAAAAAATTGAGGGACACCTGAATGACTCAGTTGATTAAACATCTCACTCTTGATGTGGAATTAGGTCATGATCTCAGTGTCCTGAGATGGAGCCCCATGGTGGGCTCTGTGCTGAGCGTGGAGCCTCCTTAAGAGTCTCTCTCTCTCTTTGACCCTCCCCATCCCCAAATCTCTCTCTCTTTCAAAAAAAAAAAAAAAAAAGAGGGACACCAAGGTGGCTCATCAGTTAAGTGTCTGCCTTTGGCTAGGGTCATGATCTCAGCATCCTGGAATTGAGCCCTACATTGGGCTCCCTGCTCAACAGGGAGTCTGCTTCTCTCTCTCTCTCTGCTGCCCCCTGTTTATATTTATGCTTTCTCTGTGTATGTGTCAAATGGATGAATAAAATCTTTTTAAAAAATTGAAATCAGGATCTTGAAAAGATATTAAGCACTCCTATGTTCATTACAGCACTGTTCACAATAGCCAATTAGGGAAACAACTTGAATGTCCAAAAACAGTTGTACAGATAAAGAAAGTGTGCTCAATACATAAGTGGAGTACTATTCAGCCTTAAAGAGAACAAAAAAAAATGAAACCTTGCAATATGCAAACTCATGGATGAATCTTGAGGCCATTATGCTAACCGAAATAAATCAGTCACAGTAAGACAAATAATGCATTATTCCACTTAAATGTGGTATCTATGATAGTCAAACTCAAAGAATCAAAGATTTAATCAAAGAAGAGTTTGCCATGGGCTCTGGGGACAGGATAATGGGGAGTTACTGATCCATGAGCAAGATGAAAGAATAGAGTGTTGCTCTACAACATTGTACCCATTCCAACAATCATGTATCATACACTTAGAAAATCCAGAGGTTCTGTGTCGTGGTAAGTGTTCTTTACATTTTACAGATTAAATTAAAAAAAAATAAGACCCTACAGGTCTCACCTATTATAATGGCCAAAATCTAAAACACTAATACCACCAAATGTTGGTGTCAAAAACTTGGGAATAGCCCAGGTCAATCCAGTGAACTTCACCAAAGTGGTAATTAATAAAAGTGTCATGTGCACACACCAAAAAGACAGTTCACGAACCGGGAGCAATCAAACTAGGGTATGGAAAGAGGCTCGGGAGTATATAGTTAAAAAGCATCTTATATCGTGAGGAGACTGAGAGTGTCTGCTCTGTTTTAAAGAATTCAAGAGGTAAATGTGTATTATTAATGTGGGTTAATAATGGAGCTTTATTAAAGATTATATTTTTAAGCAACCTCAACCCCCACCATGGGGCTCAAATTTACAATGATGAGATCTGGAGTCACAGTTCTACTGAAAGAGCCAGTTAGCATCCCCCTAGTTTACTACGTTTATCCAAATATCTGAGGACAACTCTTATTATATACCCTTTTGGATTGTTTAAAGTATAGTTTCACATGCATTTATATTTATAAGGTTTGAAAATAAAATTTATGTTTTAAACCAATTTAACAAAAAATTACATTATACTAAGAATATATAACTAATACAACAGGAAGTATATTAATATTCTGATCATAGCTCATTCATAAAATCTGCAGATAAGGAGATGATAATTTAAAAAGATTGCCACAATATTGGCAAACTCTGTCAGTGCAACATAGACATTGCTTTTCTATTATTCTTTACAGAACTGTACTGACTCCCATACATTCTCCCAATTGCATGATTTGTGGCCCTCTGTGAAAGACTGCAAAACAGGAGTTAGAGAAATCAATAAGATTTCCCTTCCCATGTCACCTAACTATCGATATTGTTAGGAAACATCAGTGAAAGAGCATTTTCTCTCATCATATTTTCTGGGCACTGAGAACAATCACACTTGAGTTCTTACTGTCAGAAAGCCAACTGATCTGTTTAATTGGTCAGGACATGAGCCATATCTTCCCTTCTGTTTCTGCTCCCAAGGCTTCATGCTGAATATCAGCCTGAACCTGAGCCTGAGACCTTATTCACTAGAAAAGAATGCAAGGCCAAGGTTCCTGGTCTCTCTTTTCCTTGTTCGGGTACATGTGTTTCTCTTCCTTTCTTCCCTTCCCTTCTTTCTCTACTAACAGCTGGTTTGGAGCTGAAACTCTCCCATCACCTCTCCTGCCACACTTTGTCAGGAAGACACTGGGCAGAGGCCACCTTCTCAGGCACACTGTGTGTCTCTAAAAGTGTCATAGACACAGCAACACCCACCAGGGTGCCCTGAACAACTTGTGGGGCTGGACGTTCACCACAAGGATGAGCAAGAGACCACTTCATTGTTATATGGTTTTACCTTGAAATTACTTATGCTCTGGCTGAGGAACTCTTGGCATGAAACTGGTCTCGTCACTAAGAAACAGCTGGGGTTGGGGAATGTTACTTCTGGTTCTTATGTTCTAGTCATTTGTATGATTTTTGTATCAACCAGAGACTGACGGACAAAAAACAGATTGTGCTGGAACCAGAGTGGATCAGGCAGAGACACTCAGCATCCAGGCCCCTATTCTGCTCAGAGTTTGTGCTCCACTCCCCCTGCAGTTCCCCTTACTGTGTCGTTCATGGCACAGTAGTACACAGCTGAATCTGAAGCTTGCACTGAGCCTTTCTCCAAGTGGAAGGATTTGGAATCTCCATCATAGGTGGCTTCAAATCCTTTGTTGCTTCCCTTCTCCTTGTCCCTTGAGGCTTTCAGGAGGAGCTCTATTCCTTCTCCTGGATACTGGACATACCAGAAAAGAGTGGGATAACTTGTTGTATAAGTACAGTTGATATTCAGGGAAGCCTCTTCTGAGAGGGTCACTTGGCTCTCCATCTGAGTCACTGAGTCTCCATGGGTTTGTCCTGAGGAGATAAAATAAAAGAGACCTGTGTCACCTTATGTATAAAGCTCTTGGAAAAATTATAGTTAAGCACTTTGCTGACACAATGGAAGAAAGAATCCAAATTTTAAGAGGCATTTTACTTACCAAGTATTAAGAGTACTACAGTCACGAAGACTGGAGAACACTTCATCTTTGGAGTGTCACTTAAATAATGTTCTTCATTCTTACCATGGAGAAGGTTGGAGTGACAGAAATGATCAGTGGACGCCCACATTTCACACGGGAAATGTGATTGTGGTAGGAAGCTCCACCCCCTGGTGGACAGGGACTGAAATGCGTGCATGTTGGCCAGAATCCTCCCCAAGTCAGCTATCTGTTTCATCCCTGACTTCATGAGGCACATGTCAGTCTTCAGGTGGCTCTTGGAAGTCTGAACAACAGCAATCCTGACCTCTCAGGTCTATTTTGTTCTTATTACCCTACCTGATATGGAAATTCTTTAACACACATCCCAGGGAATTTCTGTAGCTGAGAAGACACCCACGTTCTTGAGCATTTTAGAATAGTTTTTTAAAAAAATATTTTCATATATCCATTCAGAGCCAGCCAATAATGCAATAGAATGTCATAAAAGGGTTTTAACTTGAAATCAAAGGAGGTAATAAGAAGTCATGTCATTATTCTTCACTTTTCAGACATGCACCCCACATGTGGAACAAGGAATGTCATTCATTACACGCTCACTGTATATTTGCTAAATTAAACAAAAATAATGAATGAACAGGTTTTGGTTGAGAATCACTATTACTAGAATACAATATTTCCTCAGTCCTAAATCATAACAATTGTAAGGGATGCAATATTTTTAATCAAAGCTTTTTAGGAGGAAAAACCTTACATTATCTTGGCAATAGTAAATATCCCTGCATTTCAAAATCATTTGAAAAGTGAAAAATATTAACCCTAGCCAGAAAAAAAACCATAATCACAGTTATCTAATCCCTATAGAAATTATTAAGGTAGGAATACCTTGTTCCACCATTTCAATGATTCTAATATAACATAACTAGTATATGTGAATCAGGCAACAAGTATTAATCATACACTTGGTGGATATCTAGCTTTGAGGATGTTTTTCACTGTTGCTGTGTGTATCATTATGTTGCCATACTTTAATTAAATAATTTTCCTCCACAGGGTAGGGAACCTTGAAGATGTGGATTTGCATCAAATGCCTGTAGTATGATGTAGGATTCCCTTCTCCCCAGCTTTTCAAATTGTTAAAGACATAACAGCTTATATTCACACAGCAGCTGATAGTAAAACCAATGTACCAGTGATTTAAAATTACACATATTATGATTCCATCACTAACTCCAGGGCTCATATTTTGCAGGATTGAGACCCACAAGTTTGTAATTTTTTAAACTTTTTTAAAACTCTCCACCATGGTTTTGTCATAGCCAGTCCCACACCGGTTTGTGAGATTTCATTTGTGATAACTTTCCTCTAGCCAAGATGGTCATCAAATATCAGGGGAAAATGTCTAGAATCTGCATGGGAAAATGTCCCTGTGACTAAACAAATTTTTAAAAACTGATCTTTTTCTACAATACACCAAAGACAAAAACAAGCACTTCCTTAGCTCCCATTTTATGATCATTTATTTCTTTAAAACAAAACAAAATAAAAACACTTCTAAGGATTATCAGAATAAAGTTCTGGAGAGGGACACATCTTTGGTAAAGCCCTATAACATTTATCTCCAGACACATAGAGGAAGCTTAGCTCGAGCTGTTTCAGGCAGGTGGAAACACGTCTCCTTCCCACAATATCCACAAAACTGCCTCTCTCCCTGTTTTAGATCATAGAGACACATTTCCACAGGGCCTCATCCTACTTAGCCACATGGAAGCCATGACCACCTTCAGAAGCCTGGAGAACAACATGTTTGAGTTCTACGAGATGGAAAATGTCTTCTTCTTCTTCAATATAAGGGCTTGGCATTGTGAGGGGAGCCTGAGAGGGTGAGGGAATGATTGCTGGGTATGTGCTGCTGTGGTCCCAGAATAAGAAACGGGGGTTTCCTGGTGTAGCAAGTGTTTGGGTCATGTCATAATTCTCATGTCCCAGTGAGAGTCCTGCTACCCTACATCCTTTTGCAATCAACAACCCTTAACTTGGAAACAATTATATCTGAAAATGAATTAGTAAAATTTTATATTGAAATTGAAATGAGGATTGATGGTTTAACTATGCTGTGTTCAATCATTGTATCTGTGATGAATATGGGTGGGTGGCAATTACTTAAAAATACTCCATGTGGGGCACCTGGGTGGCTCAGTGGGTTAAAGCCTCTACCTTTGACTCAGGTCATGATCCCAGGGTCCTGGGATTGAGCCCCACATCAGACTCTCTGCTCAACAAGGAGCCTCCTTCCTCCCCCTGACCCTGTTTCTGCCTACTTGTGATCTCTGTCAAATAAATAAATAAAATCTTTAAAAAAATACTCCATGTAATGGATTATGAAAGCAACATATGATTGAGAATCATGTTTCCTCACATTACATGTGCTACCTAAGGTAGAAATGAATCACATTGTGATAAGAAGGCAAAGTGTTTAGACATTCATTGTAACTCTTTCAAGGTACCTGTTGTTATGCCATTGTTCCTCCTCACTACTCTTATCTGTTCAGATGCCTATGTTGAGGCCAAAAATAGACAAGTCCAATCATTCTTTGCTGAAGAGTTCAGGTTGCAACCCTCAGACAATAGACCTGCCACCAAGGTCTTCTCCTTACTGTTCAGTTTCCATAGCTCAGCTCTGTTCAGAAAGGCCAGAATAGACACCAGTGTTTGGTCATTGGGTTATCAAGCCTTTGAACTTATGTTTTTCCCTTGCCTTAGCTGAACCACAGTAAGCTTTCATGTTTGTATTTTCAGTTCTAAAGGGAATATACTCTAGGTGACCCTATGCACCTCCACAGAACTTTTGATCATATAATAATTGATTGTAATAGAACTTTCCCTGTGTGAGTATGTTAAAAGTAAGGCTGTGCCCTAATGATATTCCTCCACATCATAGCAAACAGCAAAGATCCATTGCCTATCATTGTCTGTCTCTTGATATAGTAGCCAAGGCTTAACATCCTTGCCTCAACATCACTGTAGCCTCAGCTAAATTGGTTGAACCATCTTCAGAACTTGCATTGTATATGTCTGCATGAAACACGATGGAACCACATAACATACACACTGGCCTCCTCTCTAAGGGATACACTATAACTATCTAAAAACGCCCAGCTAGCTGAGTAAATGGGAAATATTATTAATTTCTCCTCCTATCACTCAACTTTAATATATTTCTTAATGAAAGGAACCTCATAATTGTGCTTCTGTCATTCAAGAAGTGCTCATGTGCTGGACAGATCTTTTGGACATCCCGCATCAAATTCTGAATTAATAGATTCTTTAAAAAATAATTTTATGTTAAACTTTGAAGAAGACAATATCAGCCTGGTCATGAAATTAGTACTCTAGACCCCTTTAGCAGAAGCAGTGCTAATTCTAGAGCTGAACTAGTGAATATCTCTCAGGCACGCCATTTAAAAAAAAAATATGTAGTCAGTGTCAGGCAATGTTTTTAATGTAGGACACAGCTTCCAAGTACTATAAAGATAATGAAGTTTCTTAACATTTTAACTTTCTTTAACCCTCTCATGCATTCTATTAGAAAGGGACAGAAAATACATGAATTTTTTTGAAGTCTTCATGCTACTCAAAATTTTTTTTGCCCTAAAGACAAAGTCTCACAATACAAAGGACCCTGTAAAGCAGGGAAACATGAGGAGGTTATTTTACAAACACACCTTTCTAATCAAGGTTCTTATGCAAGAGCTTCTTATAGAACATAAAGACAAGTCAATATAAAATTTAACAATTGCATCTTAGATGTAGAAAATTTGGCCCCAATTTTGTAAAGAATCACTAAAAATGACTGATTTCTTTGATCCATGAAAACAATATATATCAAAGTCAGGATAGCATCCTGATAGAAGCAAATGATCACCAATGAACACTTATTAAATCTGCCAGAGACAACACATCACAGTAGGGGCATACTGGATGCAACTTTAAATGAATACTGGTGGGGAAACTTTTCTAGGATAGCAGATGATGGGGTCTTCATTCCTCTCTTGGAACTGATAAAATCCCATAAAATCTGGAAACGTAGAATATGGTCTGGAAATCTGTTCCAAGGAAGTATTTGAGTATCTCTAAAAGGATCTTACACAATTTCATTCCCTTCATCATCTATAATAGTATTTTATTTACTGCATGGATTGAAGCCCTCTCCCATCTGAAAATAACACCAATCACAAAAGTTAAAAATCAACTGGATTTTGGGTACCTGGTTGGTTCAGTCAGTTAAGTGTCTATGTTTGGCTTAGGTCATGATCTCAGGATCATGAGCCCCTCATTGGGCTCTCTGCTCAGTGGGGAACCTGCTTCTCCTTTTCCCCCTGCTGCTCCCCATGCTCTCACTCTCTCTCTTGCTCTCTCTCTTTCTCCACTCTGTCAAATAAATAAATAAAATCTTTTAAAAAGTAATCAACTGAATTTTGTGTTTACTACTGGTGCAATTTCAATTAATCTCTATGTGGAAAACATTTCTCTGGGACAGTTTGGTAAGGTTATCCCTCACATAGAAACTTCACTTTTCTTATCACCCTCATCCCCAATCCTCTCTTATAATGGAAACAAAAAATAGAATATGAAAACTGAAATGAGTTATTGTCACAGATACACTTAGACTACTGTGGCCTAGTACATGTTAGCTTTAGCCACAACCTTTCTTCATGAAGTCCTGTGCTGTCTTACCATAAACTGTCCCCTGTAGCCCACATAACTCAGAATGTCCCAACCCAACCCTTCACAAACTGACTAGATAAATAAACTTTTGAGACTTTTTCTTCCATCCTGGGCAGCGATTACTCTCCTGGACTTTCATTGAATCAGCTCTAAACAAAATCTCAGAGAAAGACTGAGATTGAGATGTGTAAAATAACCTTATTAGGCACTTTTTATTACCAGTTCAGCAGATAAACTACCAGAAATGGAACCTTGGTTACGTGTGTACCAACTAGTATGGCATCACGCAGCCTTCATTGACAGGAATGGGAAATGTTGCTCATATTAGAGTAAGCTTTTCTTTCTTCTTTCTCTTTCTTTCTTTCTTTCTTCTTTCTTTTTTCTTTCTTCTTTCC